CTTTTTTTTTTTTTTTTTTTTCTGAAGCCCATCTGTTTTCGCGATCATGAGCATCTTTGGGCTGCTGTCGTGCTGTCCTTCGGGACATCAGTTAGAAAAAACTGGAACCGGAACTGGAACTGGAACCGGAACTGGAACCGGAACTGGAACTGGATCTTGAACTGGAACCATACAGTGCAGAGAAGATTAGCGTGGCCCCTGCGCAAGGAGGGCACGCATAAATGGAGAAGTGGGCTGTGCTGTTGTGCTCCCGCGCTTTGTCGGATTGCTATTTTTCCTTTGTTGCTCAGGCTGCGATTTCAGGAAGCAGCTACTTGCCGTGGCCTCCATGGATTGGTGGAGTGGGGTGCGTTCTTCTTCCCCCCCCCGGATTTGGTGTGGTCCTCGCCGTGAACCTTGTGGATTGGTGCGGTGGGGTGGGGTGGGGTGGGGTGGGGTGGGGTGGGTTGCTTTCTTCTCCTCCCATTTTTCTTTCAGGCCCCGCTTTGGGCCCTTGCTTCAGCGTTTGGCGGGGTGGGGTGCGGTGGGGTGGGGTGCTTTCTTCTCCCCCCTTTTCACGGCCCGCTTTGGTGTGGGCCCTTTCTTCAGCGTTTGGCGGGGTGGGAAGGTAGGTGATATTGTCACCTCGCCGTTTCTATTTCGGGAAATACTGAGAGTGAGTTCATCACGGAGAGCATGCAGTGCGTCGAAGGAGTGAAGGGGAGGGAGAGAGTGAGTTCATCTCTCTCTGTTGTGGTAATTATTTTTGTTTTTTATGTTTGCTGCCACTTGCCCTTGCCTGGAGCCGTAAATACGATTTGCAAATTCTTGGCCTCCGCCAAGCTCTCTTCTGTTTTGTTGTGCTCATCAGTCTCTTCTGCCTTCTTCGCGAGCTCCTCCTAGCCTCGGCTTTCTTTTCGTTTTTGCCCCGAAGCCCGGGCATTTGGGCGTTTGCCTTGCGTGTCCTGTTCTGTGTTTGGCCCCTCGTATATGTTTTTTCCTATGTGTCCCGTCTCCCGTCTTTTGGCTGACAGAGAGACGTTTTGCTTTTTGCTGTGCGCCCCGTTCGCCTGCCCGACCGCCCATCTTGAAGTTAATACGGCCCCTCCTTTTGCCTGGCCCCTTGTGGAAAAGGGACCCCATGCTGTGAGTCTGAACAATTTCCTCGCGTATCTATGTTATGGCTGGTTTAGTAGTCGGGATGGAGAGACAGCCGCCCGGGGGAGGGAGGGGGGGGAGGGAAGGGAGGGGGGGGGAGTGATGCACTCCGGGACATAGAACGTGTTGGAGCATGTATACATAGACCGGCAATGAATCTGGCTGTTATCGCACTTGGATACATAACTGCGAGTGTCTCACGATCCTATTTTTTTGGAGCATGTATACATAGACCGGCAATGAATCTGGGTGTTATTGCACTTGGATACATAACTGCGAGTGTCTCACGATCCTATTTTTTTGGAGCATGTATACATCGACCGGCAATGAATCTGGCTGTTATTGCACTTGGATACATAACTGCGAGTGTCTCACGATCCTATTTTTTGGAGCATGTATACATAGACCGGCAANACATAACTGCGAGTGTCTCACGATCCTATTTTTTGGAGCATGTATACATAGACCGGCAATGAATCTGGCTGTTATTGCACTTGGATACATAACTGTGGGTGTCTCACGATCCTATTTTTTATTTTCTACTTTGCTCCCATCATTGGCATTCTGTCTCCTTTGTTCAACTTTCCTGTTCTGTGCCATCACGTGTTTCGCACCACCATCCTCATGCATGGCTCTTTTTCGTGATTGGCTTATTTCTTCACCCCTGTTGTCTTTCGTTCTATATGTATTCTCTCTCTCTCTCTCTCTCTCTCTCTCTCTCTCTGTGCCCCCTTTTTGTGCTTGTCTGGTGCCAAAGCTCAGTAGAGGAGTCATTTGGTTGCCGTGTTGAGCTTCGGTGCGAAATGGCGCAGGTGCGTTATGGCACCAGTGGGGCGTCTGTGCCAAAAGTTCTCTTTCTTGTTTTTTGTTTTTGTTTTTTTTTTTCTTCCCCCCCCCCCCCCCTCCCTGCCCTCTGTATGACGAAATGCGTCTGTACCTGGGAAACACTCCTCTTGCTTTGTCAGAAACTTACCTTTCTGAGGAGTTGAGGAGCTCTTGGGTAGAGTGGCCACTGATGGCGGCGATGTTTGCACCTGCCCTGCTGATGTGTTTTCGGTGATTGTTCCCTCTTTTTTCACACTTGCATAATCATGACTTCCTGTTTGTGTCCATGTCAGCAACTCTGCCCGCACATGTTAAAGGGAAAGGGGAACTTCTCCAACGAGTTATCTTTTTCCTTGTGTGCATCTGTACCCTCAACTGCACCACTGGCCTCTACATTTTAAACGCTCGGCTGACAGACAATACAGGATGTTCAGCCTTTCAGAACGGTGAAAATGGATGCGTCCCYCCCCCCCCCCCCTCCTATCGGCTGTGTGCTGACACTGGTTTTGCATTTTATTTTGTGGGAACGGCGGCAACGGCATATATATTGCAGCTCAGCTTCAGCCACCCACACTCCCAGTCATCTACAGGGGTATAACAGCGATGTGTGTTTTCGGTTTTCGTCCCTCCTTTTCCTTTTGTGCTCGTCTTCATGCGACTCTCTGTGCTTTTCCTGATATCCACCATAGCACTAAGTTCTTCCCAGGGTGGAGCAAGACCTCCTCCCCCCCCCCCCCCCCCCCCCCCCGCCCCTGTGCTTCAGTTCTGTGCAGAGTCACAGAATGAATGGATTGATTTAGAAAGTCGTTTTTTTTGTTCTTCCATAACATTGGCAGTGGGTATAGTGGGAGTCCGGGTCGGAGCAGACACCCCCCACCGCCACTGCTCCCGCTTTGTGATGACTCCGTTCCTTTGGTGGGGAGCGGAGCTGGTACTGCGGGGATGTCATTCTTTGTCGTTGATCTTCAGACTTGTCATCTACATCCATGGCAGGCAGGCAGGCAGGTAGGCAGGCAGGCAGGCATGACTGAGATATAATTCAGGCCGTTGGATTAAAGATGGGGGTACAAAGTGACCACGGTGCCTGATTTGGCCTTACCTGACCAGAGTTCCCTCTGCTTTTAGGGATTGCAGTCAGTAGAGGGGTGGCCCTTGGGGGTGGTACTCACTCTTAGGACTGCTTCTACTCAGCTCTGGACGTGATTGTGGTCAGATTCATGCACGTGAGGTCGTAATTGCTGCCAGATACATTTATTAAAGTGATCATGTGCGTATGCCCTGTACACTTTATATATAGCCCCTTAAACTTTCTATATATATACGTATACAGCCGAGTTTGCAATCTGTTGTGCGCTAGTTGCTATCAGGTGTCCTGCAAAGTTTTTTCAGGAAGAACAGTGGTTTCTGATGGATGACTTCCTTTTCCTGTTATTATCAATTTTTTATTATCAATTTTTAATTCTAGAAAGGTTGTTCGGGCTGAGCTATAGTCAGGCCCTACCTTGATGGCCAGTGCTATAAATCACACTCCCATGACACACCCACGGCAGAGCGGGGCATTCCACTGCGGGAGACTCCCAATGGTACCTAGTCCCTCAGTGACACTGCCCCCCCCAAACTGTGTGTATGTTATATAAGCACAGCCAGCAGGACGCTCAATGGGCAAGACCCCCTTACAACATCTACACAGCCTTGCCACCATCCCCTGCGGGTACCCGGCCCAGGATGCAAATGAGCTGCAGTCCACTATGGCAGATTCCGATTGCGGGCACTTTCGTTCGAGCCAGCCGGGACTCGAAACCCGCAGCCTGTGTCTTGTGACACAGGAACCTGTAGAACACCGGTGCCTGACCAACTGGCTATTGCACATTTGCGATGATGGCCTCCTTTGGCAGCAAGATTGCCAATTATGCTACGACGAGGACAGTTATGCCCAACATGGGTAAAGGATGTGAAAGCGGCCTCTTAGACGGTAGGTCGCTCTACCAGAAGACAGCCAAATGGGTTGGCCCTTGCGCCCTCTACTACCTGAGATGTTGTGTCTCATGTGAATGGAGTTGTGGGAGAGTGGGCAGCAGTTTGCTCATGCTTGGTGGTGCTTAGCAAAGCCTCGTGTGTGCAGGTGGGAATCGGTGAGTGTTTGCGAGGTCTGGGAAAGTGGGTGGTTTGCCCTTCCGTCTTCACCCGAATAGAATGCCCAGTCATTGTCGCTGTATTTGGGCTAACTTGTGGACTGGATACTCCGATAATGACCGGGCGTTCTGTTCGGGTGAAGACCGTAGGGAGAAGTGTAGCGTGCCCCGGCAAACTGCAGAGGAAGTCGACGTGATGGAGGAGGTAACTGCGGGAAAGGCAGGCGGTGTTATTATGGGCAGAGGATCATACAGCCAATTGGTCGAGAGAGAACCCAATTCTGGAGGGCTCTACAGTGGCGCAACTGTTAGGCTATATATATATATTAAGGTAGATTATCATTTACAGTGTAATCAGTGAGGGGATTCTGCAGACTGTTGAGGGTTCAGCCTCCTGATGAGTCGGTGAAACTCCGATGAAACAGTTTGTCACAGCCCCTCGTTTGTTGTCCTCTTCTCTCTCTCTGCCTACGGTTTTACCGGGCAGTTCTGTTTGTGACGATATATACTACGACTTAGCTAGCTTCCTGCTACGGTTTTTTCCGGTCAGGT